GTGATTTTTTTCGCCTCAGTGTTAACTTTTGCTGCCAGCAGGAATGAATCAGCAGTATATACACGCTGTTGTTGGGCCACATTATATAGACATAGACGTGTGCATTGAAACGGTCTAATCCCGTGTACTGTACAGAGACAGACGCACGAAACAGGCTCTCAGTGGAGTCTGTTCACATCAGCAGCAATGTTTTTACTGTGGTTTAAAACAAACAAACAAAGGGATTTGTGACATGGGCAGCCATTTCTTTGGGGGAATAAAGTGAATTGATCTTGTTAGGGTTTACATAATTCATCGCTATTCTCAAACGGTGTGTCTTAAAGCAATGTTGGCCACTGATAGTGGCGCAGTCGTCTGCTGTGCATCTGACAGCTTCTTTCACCAACAGGTCAGCTGAACTGTCTGACCTCCTGCTGCCTTCCCCATCCACTATGCATACACACACAGGTTACAGCGCTGTCACTGGGTTAGTGTGTGTGTGCACTCTCTCTCTCTCCAAGCTGTTTACCCTCTCTTTTAGTGTTTGGCTTTTTGCCTGTAGCACAGAATCTGCCAAGTACTGAAATCCTCTATGTTTGGGTTCATGTCAAGTCCAACTACATCATTCCTTCTCTCCTTCCTCATGTCCCATCATCCCATTACTGTTCACTGTTGAAATAAAGTTGTTGTTTTTTTAAGAAAATAAATCATTTATGTTCTTCAACGTAAACGATAAAGCTTTGACCTCTCATAGACGTAATTGTTATTGTAAGCCCTACTTGATTTGTATCTTCTTCTGAGTCACTTCCTGACTCATGAAATTGGCTACAGTTAAAAAACAAAAGCCTGAAGAAGACTGTTTTAAGCTTTATGGAGTTAACATTTATAGCATTTGACAGAGAGGCCTTTTCAGTAGAATATAGATTAGTTTTTGCTATATTTGCTGCCATAAGCATGTTTTTAAAAAACTCGCCTTCTGGTAGTGAGAATTCTTGCTTTAAAATTGGCTTTGAATTACTTTTTTTAACACCCTCAAAGTATACTTGTATGTACAGTATGTTTTTTGTTTTTTTAATGTTTCCCTTTTGTCGACAAAGCTGTGCTGTGTAAAAACAGCCAGTGCCCGAACAGATGTGTTAAGCTCGGTGCTGTGCAGCATGGTCACTTTGACATGATTTGAATAAACTCGATGGCCTCTCTCGTCACCGCAGCAGGAAAAAAAACGACAGGACGGCTGGCTTGTAATGCAAGTGATTCATCCTGCTGAAGGAATAAGGGTTTTTGCAGACGCCGGGCTGATATTGTTTTGACAAGTGGATTACTGTAGTAATAACATCAGGCTGGTGCTGTTAATGCAGACTGCCAGCACACACTGTTCTCTGGCCTGTGAGCGAGCCTGTGCTGTACGCTCTGTTCTGGAGCCTCTGAACTCGGGTGGATACTGGGTTCAGAGAGGACACCCCCCAGTCTTTTCTCCTCCCCGCACTTCCTTCCTCTCTTCTCAACTCCTCCTCTGGCTTCCTTCCTCCCTGGCGTTTAGAGAAGAGGCCATTAACTACAGCCGCTGTACTTTTTTATTTTGCTTGAACTGTAAAAACATGAACTTGAGCTGTGAAAACATCCCCGCCTGTGCACTTCAGAAGAAGTACACCAGCTTTGAGTCAGGCGTCGGCTTTGTGCCGCTTTTACAACAGCAGAAGGCAGAGTATGTGATATTTATCCAGCTGGCTTACAGGAGGGCCTGGTCGACTTGGTTTCCCAGAATGCTTCTCTCTGATTGAAAGCCTCCTCCGTCCCCTCCCTGTGGCTGCTGTGGTGAATGCACAGGCCCAGGCTGGTAACTGGATGAAGCTCCAAAGTAAAGCAGGCAGCTCGACAACTTAACTTTCTGACACCGTGCTTTATTTCACAGAGAGCTGATGCGCCCAAACTGGGGAGTGGGAGTGTCTTCTGTTTCTTTTCTTTCTTTTTTTTACTTAACTTTATTAAATCTTGTACATATATTCTTGGTATGAAACCTCGTACCACAATGAAGCTGTACTTTAGAGTAAAATACCTTGACAGAAGTTAAATGAATTGATACAGATGTTCATGTTGCCCCATGATTTAAAGCAGGGGTTCACCACACTTCAACAAGGCTCAGTACAACTGAACTGTATTAATATAGCACCAGTTTCAGGCAGCTTTATATTGCAAGGTACAACAAGAATGAGGTATGAGCAAGCACTTAAGACAGTGAGGAGGAAGAACTCCCTTTTAACAGAGACCTCCAGCAGAACTACCTCAGAGAAGGTTCCCTGAGCGAGGTACACAAGTTGGTTTTATCCAAAAGGAGAATTTGAATACTGGGAGCTGGTTCCATATGAGATCACCTGACAGCTGAAGGCTCTGCCACCCATTTGACTTTTGGAAACTCTAACAACCACAAGTAGGCCAGGTTTCCTGCTGTACTGGTATAATATGATACAAGGTCTTCGAGCTGAGATGGGCAGTAAGGTTTGAATTGTCGCTCCTTGCCACAGGCTTCCTCCATGATGTTATGTTACTAGGAGATTTTATAAAAAAAAAACCAGTTTCGACCCTTCATCTCGACTCTCAGCACTCCCCTTACTCTTGCCTGTTAAATATTAGGTGACTCGCACTGCGATCAAGAGCTTAATACCTTAGTTTCAAATGTCTGATGTGAGAGGGGTGGGTCATGATTTTCCACTAAGATTGTTATTGAATGTGTCAATTAAATAGTTTGAGAAGGCTGTTTAATGAGGTAAATTTGCTGAATTATACTATTAAATTCATCTGAGCTCACTTCACCACCTCACTTTCATCTCAGAGGGGAAGTTGTGGAGCTTCTCTGTCACCGTTGGTTGCAGTACCCACCTCTTTGCTCTTTGGTGGTTAATGTTCGTTGGTTTTGCTGGTTTAGGTTTCATTCCTTCCCACAGTTTTTCTTACCCCCACCCCCCACTCACTGTGGTTTTTTCTAGTTGGCCTTGTTCCTCTCACTCCTGCCCCGCCCTGTGGCTGCTGTGGTAAAGCAGAGGCAGGTTTGGGTGGGTTTTGCATTTCAGCCCAGCTTTGACTCTAACCCACCATATTGCAGACAAATAAGCCACGGAGGATTATTAGGCAGGGAAGCCTGAGATAGGCTGGCTTTAACTAGCTCTCTTTCATTTCTGGTTGTCTCCTTCTGTGCTCTTAATTTCAAAGAATTCACAAGATATTCTGTTACTGATTACTTTCCATTTCTTCTTGTTTTTGGATTTTAACACTCTGCTTACTTTTTTTTCACTCGGTCTACCCTTGCCATGTCAAAAGCTGTCCAGTTGCATCATGGGTAATGTGCTCCTCAGATTGCATAGAGCTTTTTTTTGGGGGGGGGGAGTATTGAGAATTGAGGCATTGTGGCTGAAATAGCAGAGCGTACATTGTGTCATTGTTCATACAGAACACATGCACAGTGTACTGGATGTCCAGCAGTGAGCAAGCGTGTGAGTCAGAGGTCAGACTGGGTGCCAACACCGGACAAGGTCAAGACTCCTACTCAGAACAAACCAACAACGCACAACAAAAGAGTGTCACACTGCAGACAGGGAGGCTGGCAGGGAGCAGAGACGGGGTGGAAGAGAAAGAAGGGAGAAAACCAAAGTAGGAGATGACAAAGAATGAGGGAAATGTAAGGAATGAATGATGGTGGGTGAGGGAAGAATGCAAAGAGATCGATAAAGACAAGAGTTGAAAGACTGCAAGAAGAGGCGTGTAGGCGAGGGAGAGGAGGATGCATGGATAGGGTTAGAGGAAAGTTGGAGAAAGTGATGGCAGGTGAGCTGAGATGCAGACAGGGTTCAAAGACGAGCAAGAGAGCATGAAACAATGAACAAGAGATGGGAGGCAGACGTAAGTGAAAAGCGGCGATCATTGTGTCTCCCGGTGGTGCCCTGATCTGGG